GGAACATTTTTATCGCTAGATGCTTGTTTTGTAGAAGTAACTATACAAGATCTTCTTGACTTAGCGTTTCCAATCGTGGAAGGAACATTTTTATCCTTAGATACTTTATTAGCAGAACTAGATTCCGGTGTTACTATTTTAGATTCTTTTGATATAATATTCTTATCTGAAGGTATTTGGAATGAATTGTCTGAAGAAACGTTTTTACCAGATTTTAATTTCAATTGATTATCTTTTGATACGCCCAACTTCAATTCTTTTTGTTTTCTTATGCTTTTGGTACGAAATCGTTCCGGAGTGTTATTCTGAAACTGAAGAACAGCTGCTGCTAAACTGATATATTTATTTGAATTTCTACGAATTTTAAGGCTCTGTCTTCTACATTGAAAACTTAATTTTTTCGACTGTTTCTTACTGTTGCTGCTTTCCATCGATAATTTAGATTGATTTATTTCACTAGGCGTATCGACATTTAATAATTGTGTTGAATTGTTCAAATCTAATTTTTGTTCATGCTCAGCTTGTGTCAATATATTTATTGGCGATATATCACTATCAAACATATCTTTTTGTGGTGTTGCATAAATTTCGCGTTCAGAAGTAGATAACATTTGTATTTTTTCATCAGATAGTTTGTTGGATGTGCAGTCGATTTGATTATTATCATCTTGAGATATTAAACATTTTGATGGTTCATTTTTTGTCGACATTGGCTTTTTGAATACATTTGATGGTGTTATTACTAAATTTTGTAAGACTTCTATAGCTTCTTGCATGACATCATTGTATGTTACTTTTTGAACAAGTTTAGATTTACTACTACCCTGAGTCGAAGAACAAGAACTATATATTAATTTTATCGGTGTATTCTTGATAATATCTAATTCAGTTTCTAAACTAGTAACAACATTTGGTGTACATTCCAATTGCATGGATTCTTTAGTAGTTTCTTTAATAATTTCTTCAGTAAATTCCTGAGCAGTTTTTTCAGCAACTTCATTAGCTATTTCATCAGTAATTTCTTCGGTAATTATAGATTCCTTAGTTTCTTCAACAATTTTTTTTGATAAATATTCTTTTTCATCACATAACGTTATTTTGATTTCTGGTATTTTTACGCATTCTTCAGATTTGTCACTTCCATGATCTTTGTTAAAATAATCGTCTGATAACTCTTCTAAATTAGATGTAAAATCTACATATTGGGGAGAACAATAATTATCCATGATAAGGATATTTTATGTAGCTATTGTAATTATATGAAATAATCGTTGCGTTATCTAAAAAATGCAAAGAATGAAATCAAATAATTATCTTACGATATAAGGACATATTAATTAATTTAGAACAAATATCACAGTATATATATAAAAAAATAGACATCTATATATAGTTCAAAATCTTCAAATGAAAATTTCTTTACTTTGATAAATGACATTTGAAATTAAATTATATATAACATATTCTTTTACCTACCACTAATGAGATTTTTTACATTTAATTAACACGAGATAAAATAAATTTATAAAACATTATTAATAAAATTATTAGTAATAAATATGTTTAAATTATTCCGGTACTTATTTATTCGACATACTACTTTTAACGGATAAATTCATATTTTGCAACGACACTGCCGGTAACAACTCAATTGTGAATAACAGTTAAATACTAAATTAAAATCCCTATGGGTATCATATACGCTTTTCTATTGGTCTCTCGATTCCATGTAGGTTAAATATATATTTATTTATATATTTATCTAAGAATAGTTAATTTATATTTAAAAAAAACATATAATAAATCAATCGGTAAAATCGTATAAATTTTATTTTCATATTAACCAATAAATAAACCTAATATTACACGAGAATGGATATTATACAAGTAGTTTACGATTCGTACGTAAGATGGCGTAACGGTAACATTCAAGGAACATGAACTCCCTCTACGTTACACTTATGTCGCGGTTCGTACTATTTCAAATCGAAAGGATTACAGAAGTGAACGGTTGAAATAACTGCTGAAATATTTCATTTGACATATTAAGAAGGAAGAAGAAATTTATCATTATTGAAAACATATAAGATGTCTACTATTTCTCTCGACAAACTTATTGAAAAGGCACGTAAACTCGATGAAGGTATCAGAGAGTTAGAAGAAGAGTGGCGTTTTCCAGGTGCTTTTGTTGGTGGCCATGAAAATGTTACGGAAAAAACGGAGCATTATGTAGAAGAATTGATGAAATCTTTACAGAAAACGCAAGTAAAAATGATTGCATATTTTCATATGTGTTATAATCGAAATATTAATTTTTAATAAGTATGCAAATTTATTATACAAATAATTGTCAATTTATATGCAAGTATAATATAAGATACATACAATATAAGGTAATATATTTATAAGTAATTTTTGTTTTATTCTTAAATGAATGAACGTTTAATAATTAATTATATAAGGATGATATAAATAAAATGATGAAAGATCTTAATATATC